AGATATACAAGAAATGGCTGAATTATGTTTGTAACAATGACACAAAGATCCACAAGACTCAAAATAGAAGACCTAGGATATTTAGCAATCCATCTGTCAATTTACTTGTCTGCATCAATTCTGTTTGAAAGCTAGTCTATTATTAAGCTTTGAAATGAAATATTAAAAGCATTAAAGACAAGTGTTCGATTGTCTTGTTATTTTTTTGTTCTTTTTTAGTTTGGTGTCCATGTTACTTACATAATTTCTCCTTTTTTGAAACAAGAAATAAAAATTGTGACTTTTTTAAAAATAAATCCATTTCATATAACATTAAACATGATTTCATCATAGTAGACCATATTGATTACATTATTTTTATATTTTAACAATTTGTTAAATTCTAGTAATATGTTACTTGTTTAGTGCTTATGTAAGTAACGGTGTCCGTTGGTAATCTTGGATATATTTTCTGATTATGATGGAATAAGGCAGAAATAAGTCATGCAATAAAACATGCAAACAAGTGTTTATATACTTCAAAAAGGATTCACAAGAAAAGGGTAGCTTATTGATTTAAAAAACAGTCACTGTGGACAGCAAGTTACGTACTTAAAAATAGAATATATAATATCCTTTTTCCGGATCACATAATTATTCATCACAATCAGCGAGAGATCGACTGCGTAAGGGTTGAAATTGATCGAGGGCTAATATGTAATGGGGTACTATTATTTATTGAGTTTTTTTTAGTAAAGATGCTTATATCTGTAGACATGTACCTGTGCCAAAAAACGAAAACAAAAACAAAACAACAACAGCATAAAATCATTTATTATATACCCAATGTGTATCACACAATTTTACTGTTTAATTTACGCTATCACGTGACGCCGTGATCCGATTTTCCGGATCACCAACATGTTGTTTTCTGAATCCATATCACCACTCTCTGAAACTGATGACGTAATACGCAAAATATGACGTTATTTTTTTGCGCGTTAAAAAGACCCTTGTTATTATGCTTTGTTTAATGGATTAATAATATCCAATTTATCTCTAAAGGTTTATTTTAATATATTTAGCCAGTTATAAGGGGGTACACGCAGGGGGAATAAGGAAGCATACAGGAGCCTAAATCAGAGCTGCATTATGACGTCATAGTAGGCAAGATGACGTCAATTTTAGAAATCAGGTTTTCGTGTATTTAGCTATGTAATTTAACTCTAGAAAATGATTAGAAACGTGTAAACATTAACAAAAATAAAATGTTTTTATTTTGTTATGCTGTAACAGTCATTATGATTGAAATCTACCACCGATGACGTCATATGTATACATCAAGTAACTTGAAAATTGATCATGTCGTGTAAAGAGAATTTGGCTAAGACGGCATGTTCAAAGATACGTAAAATGGAGTTTAAAAGGAAATATCGGAAATACTGTGTTAAATTCATATGGAGTTCAATTAATTAAACAGATATGCTAATTTATTTTCATCGATTATATTCTCTTTCAAAGACAGTCAGCTATATTACGTATCCCGGTCGGTTTATCGTCCGTCATTATTGACCAAAAAATGCAACAGAACAACAATAAGCTAGATATTTCAAAACATACGATTTGTACAGATTGAAAGTTTCCGTTTTGACAAACTTGGAAAATGCTGCTAGAATCCCGAGTTAAGCATGGTTGTACGAAAAATCTCGATTCAAATGTATAAAATTCAAAACAAAAGGTAAGGTTTCGTGCGAATGTGTGGAATAAATATTTTACAGACAAGATAGTGGGATTCTAGCAGCACTTTTTAGACAAAATAGATGTTTTTCAGCTATATTACATACTCAAAGAAATTATCAAACTCCGGGGTATTGTTGTTCTGTAAGCCTTTTTATTAAGGAAAATTTTGCTATTGATAGAAGTCACGTGATGCCGTGGTGGTGATGCACGTCTTTGCGTTAGACACGCTTTTATCTGTATGCAATAGTAAATAACAGTTTACGGTTATCAGTGGTTTTGGTAATTTATTAAAATAAATTTTCTTCAAAAAGTCTAAATTTCCCGAGAAATTACTTATATGCTTCCTTAACATACCCGCGCATAATAAATCTATCATTTTATCAGTAACTTGATCCGAAGAGCCGTATCACGTTTCGTTGAAAGGTGCAGATCATCAGATCAAACTCTACGCATCGCGTCTCGTTAGATTTGATGATCCGCGCCTGTCAACTCGACGTGAAACGGCTCTTCGGATCAAGTTACTGTTATAATAATATATATTTATTATATACCTAACGTGTATCACTCAATTTTACTGTTGAATTCATGCAATCACATGACGTCGTTATCCGACTTTCCGGATTACCACACTGTGGTTTTCTGAATCCATATCACCATTCTCTGAAACTGATGGCGTAGTACGCTGAAAAATGACGATATTTTTCCTGCGCGTTAAAAAGTCCTTTGTTATTATGCTTTGTTTATTGGAATAATATACTATTGATCTCTAAAGGATTATTTTAATACATTTAGCCAGTTACGAGGGTTGATCCAAAAGTAATGTCACAGTGTCCATATCTTTTATATTTGGCGCCATATTGTCAAAAACAATATACCAAAAGATGCACAGGTTTAATTCTAATTAACATTGAAATTTTGATTTAATAACGTTTATTTGAATTTATTTTATAGATGTTTAAAACATAGAGCATAGGGGGTGTCGCAGCGTCACAGCGGAACGTCACGTTTTAAAGTGTATTTTTTTTTAAATGAAAAAAGACAAACACATTATAAAGATTCTAAAAAAGCACTTAATCTCCCAGTTCTTTAAAAGACACAATTCTCGTAATTTTCTAGTATTTAATTGAAAATTAAATGACAGCATTGGTATTTGTGATCATAAGCAATGTTGTTTTACTCTGTTAAATTGAACAAAGGGATTGTCGAAATGGGAAAAAACGGCTCGACGAGTTGTAATGCATTTGTTGCTTCAAAATATGGAATCATCACAAGCGACAATAACGTTAATTAATCAGACTTACAGAATTAAGAATCTAAATAAGAGACATCTTAATAGATGGTTTCTGCAATTTTGGGCGGGTGATTGGTCACTGAATGATCAGCAGAGGACAAAAAAGACCGAAAGATAGGAGATCGGACGGAAACGTTCAATGGTGTCTGACGTCAAATAAGACAGACGTATGGAAGTGACATGCATATGTGAATTTCTAAGTTTGTCTTTGCTACTTTTCAAAAAAAAATTGACAGAGGGTTTAATTATGAAAAGAGTGAGTGTATAATGGTACCAAGAACTCTTGAGTGTATAATGGTACCAAGAACTCTTTTAAAAAGTGGAACTGGTGAAAGTGTTTGCAAATCATAAATATTTTATTAATGAAACGAAAGGGAAACGCTTAAAAGTATGACGTTGCGTATCCGTCATATGACGTTATATTTTGGTGCGGCGACTACCATAAACGCACATTGTTTAAAATCCGATATTTTAGAAAGTATACATCATATTCCTTTGCAATTTTCAGGTCTGATTTGAAATAAATAAAGCTGCCATCGTGTATAATTTTGTTGCTTTACGTCGATTTATAGCAATTTTATCAAAGTTGTGACATTACTTTTGGATCAACCCTCGTACAAGGGGGTATATAATAAATTTATAATTAAAACAGTAACTTGATCCGAAGAGCCGTATCACGTCTCTTTGACAGGCGCGGATCATCAGATCAAACTCGACGCTTCGCGTCTCGTTATTTCTAATGATCCGCGCCTGTCAACTCGACGTGATACGCCCCTTCGGATCAAGTTATTGTTATAATAATATATATTGATCAGTGAAGATGAAATATATGGAAATAACGAACAGTATTTAAGCTAAAAATCCATTAGACAATTCAAAATTGGAGCAGAGCAAACACAGAACTCGAAAAAAAGAATAGAGGTAGGATCAGGCATCAGCATTTCCTGCTGACCCGTCACACCCGCTGTGTGCTTTTTTGCCATGATCGGGGGGGAGGAAAAATCCCTTGACAATTCAGTGTGTAAATAATGGCTTGCTCAGATATAGAATGAAAAAAATTCAGCAAGCATTTGAGTTTATGATAAATTGTATTTAGCCACGTGCATAGAATCTGTAAGATTTTCAAAAAATATGTCTAGAATATTTCTTTAAAAAAGTACCTCCTATCTGTTTATTGCTAGCGCTCTCGACGTTAGTCAAAATTCCCTGAATACGCATGCTCGGCTTCACGGTCGTGCATTCTGGGAAAACTGTGAAAACTACTATAGATAGACCGTGCGATAACAAATTTTGATCATTGTATCATTAATTAAATAACTTTGTATATTAATTGTGTATCTTACATTTTAAAAAGAACTACATCATTATACATTATACTACTTCAAATTTCCTTTTTTTCTGACGGAAAAGCCCGAGTCATTATCTAACTGTTCTAAACAAAGGCAAGTGAGGTTTTATTTACGTCTAAGCACAAAATGGACTCTAAACGTGTATTTTTTAAAACCTCACTACCGGGAAAATATATTCTATATGCTTGCAACCATGACAATGTAGGCCAAGCATTATTATTTGAGATTTTCTTTCAATCCTTAATAAACGTCGTTTAGAAAATTTCTAGCACAGCACTACTCTACATGTACCTATATGCTAGATGTTCTTTAACACAGTTTTTTTTATAATATGTGTTGTATCACAAGAAGACAATTTTTAAAAATATTTATTCATATTTCCGTACATAAAAATTTTCTAAATACAATGTCGTCATGTCTAAAACAAAAATTAACGCACATGTACGATATATAAAACAACTATTAATCCTTGTTTAAATGGAAACCTAAGGCGTACTAACTTACATGTATAATATTAACATGCTTCATAGGATTAGAGTCGAGATGAATTATTAAATGATCATGAATATTTGGATATACCGGTAGACTCCTTAGTACCTTGTGATAAAAGTGTAGGATGTGAATTGTTCAATTATACATCTATTGACTCGTATGTTTAAAAAATTATTTGTAATTTTGTTGTCCATAAGCTTGAGGTTGTCCGTGAGCTTGTTGTCCGTACGCCACAGTTGTAGGAGCTTGTTGTGCATAAACTGTTGGAGGAGGCAGTCGTCTTCTTCGATCTGTAAATATTATGTTGCCATAATTATGAACCAAGAACAAAAATTACACGTTTTTATATTGATCCAATGATCACTATTTACCAATGTACAGCGCTAGGACTGTTATACTTACTGTAGCATATACAACCAACGATACAGCTGACGATAAGGACAACACCACCAACGATAGGGCCCACAATTACCCTATCAGAAATATAATGATACATGTATACACTGAGATTGAAAAATGTTTATAAAATGAAACATTTATAAATTTTTTATAGGTTTCAATTACCAATTTTATAATTATTATATATCATTTAGGTTACTTTATCGAGCTATCAGATTTATAAGATTGTCCGCTTTTAATATTTAACACTCTTTTTCTTTATGACAAATGCTTAAAAATGATGAACCAGTCTTTACTTTATCTAAATATACGTTAAAGAAAGTTTGAATTCTGTAATATCTGATTTACACAGACATATGAGGCATCTCCAAGTTCTACATTTATCTTTCAATTCAACTATATAAATTCAAGTGCTGCGGACGATCAGTCACTGCAAGTTTTCATTAAATCAAATAACAATGCCCTATTTCGATTGTGCGAAACAGATAAACAAATTTGGTCACAAAAGGTCACGCGCTTACCCAATACTTATGCAGGTGGCGCCACCAGTGCAGACGTACCCGTCCGGACAACAGTAAATAGATCCCGTGCAGCAATGATAACCAGTCAAAAGGCAGTCGCTGTCAGAGGTGCATGTAAAGTCACCTACAAATTGTTAAGACCTTTTATTTTACCAAAAGCTTTGACCTTTTGATGGAATTCAGCTGAAAATCAAATATTTTCTACATTCATAAAAAGTCAATTTTTTTATTTAAAATTTTAGTGATTTTTTTTAACATAACTTTATTCCTCTAAAATGAGATACCGGTATAGAGACTCTGAGTTTGATGACTTTACATGTGACATTTATACAAAATAAACACAATAAAGTCGAATCGACTGATATATCAGCGGATTTCGAAATTAGAAATATAACAATGAAAACGAAAAGAATGTTTTCATTTACACAAGTTCGAATCTCTCTGGAAAATGCAAAGAAAAAAACCCTCGAATAAATAAATAAATTCATCTGGTTCAGTCAAACAAACAATATAAGTAATTAATCCAAATAGTTTGAACAAAAAATAAATAAACTTCTTCAAGTTGTACGCCTAATATTTGAATTCTCATTCTCATTGATATATTAATCATAAAAATTTCTATGCTTAAAAACGATACATCTTTGTAAATAATCAAAAGGAATCGGATAAAACAATGCATTTGTATATCAAACAATGCTTTTCCTTATTAAATTTTAAAATAAAAAAAAAGCACTAGGATGGACAATAAAATATCCAATGAAATTCTATTTATTATTATTATTATTAAATTTTATTATTTCATTGGTTTTTTTTTCATTCTAAATCTCGACATTCCATGATCAGATGTCTTAATTGAATCTCATGCAGATGCATCATCACAAAGCATTGTTCATTCGATAGTTATTAGTCATAACTTAAATATGTCTAAATTCTAATCAGATGTTTCAGTTCAGTTCGGATACCATTCACTATGGCTTAGTGTTCTTGTCTGGTGTATAACCAGGAAAAGGGATTGCATGAATGATGCTGAGCATTGTGATTAAAAATTCGAAATATATTGCCAGTACACGATTTTGTGACCGAGATACAGCTATTTCAAAAGAAAAAAATATCACACAGGGATACTTTACCACAATACAACATTAAATAGAATTTATAATGCATTCAATTTATTAATTAACCAGCTTTAGAATATATTTATGAAGAAAAATATGTATTGCACATTCAGAAATATTATTAAATTGAATTTATGATGAAAAAAAATTCATGTTCATTATTGTTATATTAAAAAAAAAGAACATATGGCACATGTAGCTAAAACCAATACCTTGAACATTGGACACCATTAAAAATCCTAAAAGAAATAAAAGAACGGGGTTCGCCATGATCTCTTGACACAAAACTTTACGTTCGAATTATCTGTTTATCTCTACCTGGACTAAAGGTGTTATCATCTCATTACCCAAAATGTATTGTTATTGCGAAATAACCGTCACGAGGCAATGCAACACAGATAGTAGCTTATCCCATCTAAAGTGATTCCAGAGGTCATTTTGTTTTTGTGATAAAATTAGTGACTGGTATTTTCCATCGTCAACTTTCTTTATTGATACAACTGCATAATCATCTGCAAATGGGGTTTTGTGATATATTTTTAAGATACGCATAAGCATACTCTTTGTGAAAAAAAAAATAACAGTAGTTAGCTACTGTCAAATAAGTTGATGTAAGAATGGAAAAATATCTCTACCTCCAAAATTTTGAAATTTCTCTGGTCGATACAATAAAATTTTCTACCAAATACAGTACATCAGTGAAATATGTTGATTGATGTGGAAATGTAAATTAGATAAGTATCCCAATATATAACATAAGACAAATACGTTAATTTCATGTTTAATGCCACTGATATCACACGTACTACCTGTGTGACACATGTCTAGAATAAAAAAATGAATTGTTAATTTGAAACGAAGAAGATGAAACAAGTAAAACAGCACATGCATTATTTGACACTAAGATTAAAAAAAGATGAATGAAGTTTTTGTCGTCTTCATTAACGGTACTTAACACAAACAAAAAATGGATGCATGGATTGATATATATTTTTTGACTGATTTTTATTTAAAATGACATAAATAATAAATCCCTGAAATATGAAAATATCGTAGGTTTTCATTGGTGCTTAGATATGAAACTTTGTTTTGCGTTCTGTAGCATTCCATACAAATTTTTGCACAAATTAAAAAATGGATTGAACAGCAGGCACAAATTTTCAATCTTATGACAAAATCTTATAATTTTCTCCAATTATACTTGGTTATTCAGGTTACCAAATTAAATGTAAATCTATGAGAAATAAAGCTGATTTCCAAAAAAAGTTTGTTTGTGTTATTTATCCTTTATGGAGCCATTTCACCAAGTACGATCTGGAAAAATCGCATGCAACCACGCGCGACCATGGTCGCACCTCTGTTTTTACGTAGTCGCGTGAAAAATCCGTGCGACCTAGACATTTATTTTCTCTCTGCGCTCTACGTTCGATGTTATCTCGTATAACTTTCGTTGTAAACGTTCTTGGTGCGTCCTACACGCTCTATGGACGCTCTTTGCACGCTCTACCTGCGCCTTTCCATCCGATCTTAACACGATCAAGGATCGTTGTGTTCGATCAGTCTACCATGTAGCATCGACCTCTCGACGACCTATCTTCGAAAGTGTGCGACCTCTGCCGACCAGTACTCGACTTTGGCCGATTTCGGCGCGTACGAGTTGCAATAAACACTCGATCAGTACGATTTAGATACGATACAAACGTTCTAGCCTCGATCTATACGCTCAATTCTAGTTCTTTTCTCAACTACTTCTCGTCCGAGTTACGCCAAATTTGCCCTGGTCGTTCAGATTTACGTGCGACCTACTGCTATCGTATAAAAAGACCCAGCGATCAGTGGGCGATCATCAGTCTTGACCACCCTGAAAGGAGCATGGATCCTATCGCTTTACATCATGCAATACTATTGCAACATCATGCCCTGAAACTACAGCAAGACTCTATGATCATGCTGACGATGTTGAAGATGAGAAGAAAAAAATATACTAAAAAGAAATATTGGGTTGTTCCGTGGTTACGAGAACGTCAAAGAGATCATTATGGCCAGTATACCTCCCTCATGAAAGAACTGAGGCTTGGAGATGAAGCTTCCTATCGGAACTATCTGCGTATGCCACCGGAGATGTTCGACGAACTGTTGACCAGGGTTGGCCCCAGGATTGAAAAGATGGACACTAACTATAGAAGAGCCATAGAAGCAGGGGTGAAGTTGACCGTCACCTTAAGACACCCTGCAACTGGCATAGATTACCCAAGCCTTTCTTATGACTTCAGAGTATCGCGCCATACGATAGCTACATTCATTCCACTTGTGTGTCAAGCTATTGTGAAGTTATACCCTGTCCAACCTCAGCTGCTGAATGGAAGGCCATTGCTGATGAATTCGAGAGAAGATGGAATGTACCACATGCAATTGGGGCTCTAGATGGTAAGCACGTGGCCATCAGAAAACCAGCAAGTTCTGGATCTCTGTACTATAATTACAAGAAGTTTTGCTCCATCGTCCTTCTGGCTCTGGTGGATGCGAATGCCAAATTCCTGTGGATCGATGTTGGTGGTTTGGGACACCAATCTGATGCTCAGATATTCAACGCCAGTGAGCTGCAGGAATGCATTGTTGATGGTTCAGTTCATCTGCCAGCAGCTGAACCTATGACCCGTGATGACGTTGATGTACCATTCTTTATCCTGGGTGATGATGCTTTTGCCTTAAAACCCTACCTTATAAAGCCATACACTAGGAGAGGTTTAACCAAGGAAGAAACCATCTGTAACTACAGAATTTCCAGAGGAAGGCGCGTGGTTGAGAATGCGTTTGGAATCCTGTCCTCACGTTTCAGGTGTTTGCTGACAACTCTACAACAGAATCCAGACAACTGCAGATTAATTGTGGAAGCTTGTGTTTGCCTGCATAACATAATGAGAATGAGGTACCCAGCACCCCAGAATGCAGATATGGACATGGAAGATTTAGAACACAATATGATTCCTGGAGAATGGAGAAACTCAGGAGATCTGCAAGACTTGGCCTACCACTTGGGCCGTAATAGGGACAACGCCGAGGGGAAGAAAGTACGGGATTACATAAAGAACTACTTCAACAGTCCTGTTGGTTCTGTTCCATGGCAAGAGAAAATGGTGACCGCAAAACACAGAGTTTTCTGAGTGCTGTTGCTAATATGATATATCTCTAACTTTTAAACTTTTCATAACTATGTGTAATAAACAACAATGTGTAAATGATTTCATATATTTAATGTATGATTAGAGATTAAAATACAAACAAATCAAAAGGAAACGACCAATAAAATAAAATAGAATAAAATGAAATTCAGAAATAAAAAATGAAAGAACAATAAAACCAAACTAAAAACAAAAAACAAAACAAATACACCATAATTAACTCAGACGTGTTCAAAAGCTAATCGTGTAATGATCATCGCATGAGCTTGCGCCCTATCTGCACAGTTTTCAGTAGGCGTGGCTTAATCGGATTAGGCGAAGGTAAGTCGCAACTTAAGCGAGAAATGATCTTTAGTGGTTGAACCTTAAACGCACATAGATCGCACCTCAATCCTTTGATCATAATCAAATCGTGTCCATTTCGCAAACAGTGAGCGCACTGGTCTAAGGAAAATCGGGAGCAGGTCGCACGAAGCGATTCTTGATCGCAGCGGATCTAGGCTACATCGCATGGATCGAGCGAGTGTTGAGAATTGATCGAGCAGCACGACCGTGTGCTCGATCAGTTTTCGCTCAAGAAGACTTAGCCTCGCTCATCCCCGCTCTAGCCTCAATTGCCCCTCGATCAATACGTCTTTTCCTCGACTGTATTCGCTGTTTCGACGCTCTCTTTGCGACTTTTAAGTCGAGGCTCAGTTTTTTGACATGTCAAAAAACTGAGCTGCGATCTATTTTTCAGGAAGACCATTCTTCGACTTTGAGCGACCACAGGAGACCGAGGCGTGACCACTTCGCGGTCAACCTTCGACTTCGTGCGATCTTCAGCGATCAAGCCACGCTCTTAGATCGCAACTCAGTCTTCCGGGAAGAATTTTTGGTGAAATGGCCCTATAAAGGTCATAGGAAACGATTCCTAACATCATAGTTTCACTTTTTAAACCCAAAGCTACATATGAAAGTATGTTAAATTAAGAGTTGTTATATTTTCTGGCCTTTGTTCTGCTGTAAAATAAAGATAAAAGTATTCCACTTGTTATTTTTCTTACCCGCTTATCGTTCTTGATTTTGTGGTTTCATGAGGTCACAAACGCCCACAGATGCAAACGGATCATTGGACATAACATAAATCTACTCT